AGACTTGGATCTCCGAATGGAGACTCGTCAGATTGGCGTCAAGCATGGCTGTGGATTTCGCGTCGGTGAGGGTGCCTCTAAATGAGCTATCCATGCGAGAGTGCGCCGCAGTCCTGCAGACGATGTTCTTCGAGGTTGGAGTCAAGTTTCGCAACCTGGTGCCAGCATGGTTTCGAGTGTGTACACCCAAAGCTGAAGTTGATACGATGGGAAGGGTGGCAGAGAAGTTGCAGCACCTCTTGGCCGTAGAGCTCCTGGAGTGGCAACAAGTCATTTCGGGAGTGCAATGTCGAGTCGTGTCTCCTTTGGATGCACGCAATCTGAATGGCCATTCGGAGGAGATGAAACCGGAAGATGCTGAAGGTGATTCATTGATGTCGAGTTACGAGGCGGAGCTATTTGGAAGGGGTGTGTTACGCGCTGGAGGAAACCCGGAGTCCGAGTGCATCGCAGTCCTGCGAGTTCATCACTTGGAGAACCTGAATCGAAACGCCAGCAACACGCACCTCCACGGCCGTCGTCCATTCCGTCAATGAGTTCGCTGATGTCCTACCGGACGTCAACTCAGGATGACCGGAGCGTGGCTACCCCGAGCGACATGTCGGCAACCCGAAGTGGACTTCCGATGCCAAGTTCGGGTTATGGGTCGACGCTGTTTGGAGCTACGGCAACGGGTTCGAATGAGTCGAACCGCTCTGGGACGCTCGAATCCCGGTCATCTGGGAATGGTTCATCCTCGCCGTTCTCGATATGGTCTATGACAGGAGGCGCCGCGCAGCATATGCTGTTCGCGCATGCCCTCCCAGCCGGAATTGTGTTTGCAGCTCAGGGAGACGTCATCCAATCTGAAAGTAGCCTGGGTGCTCAAGTAACTGAAGCTGTCCTCCTGGTGCCGTCAATGTCAGCCAACCCTGACGATGTCGTTATGTCGGAGTCGGGGCGAGCCATCGTTTGGAGTGGCAACAGGTCGAGGACATCTCGCAAATATACCCACAGACGTAGATGAAGCCCAAGCGACGATTCCCCGAGCGAATCAGAATCCAGCGACGACGCTCGAAAACGCCGGTACTCGAGGCATTCAAGATGTTCATCCAGGCGGTCGCCAAGTCGGTCGATCAAGTCAGAGATGACAAGCCGCTGAGGAAGGTCGCGCTACTCAGTGACGTCAGGGGCGTCTCAGGTTGCCCTGAACGCGATGAGGTCGACGCAAGACATGTTGGCTCGGATAGAGTCGAAACAAGACACCACTCAGGCCCAGCTCAATCGGCGTGTCGACCAAGATTTCCAGGTGATCCAGATGTTGGCAGCTCGCCCTGGGGTCGTCACGAGTGTAACCATCCCGAATGTTGAAGCGCTAACTGCCTCCGTTCATGTGTCAACAGGACCCGCTGAAGCTGTGTCGAACGAGGCCACAAACTATGAAGCCGCCCGCTCGCTGAAGGCCGCGGAAACCCAGTTCGAGGAGCGCTGGCAGCGACGTGAGGCGGAGGCCGAGAAGGCGAAAGAGTCTTGGGCAACCAACCTGCAGAAGATCCTGAATGACCAGTGGGAATTCGTGATGAGTGCTCAGATGCAACGTCTGCAAGATGAGATCACCTCCTTGAAGGAGACGCGCAATCAGAATCAGAAGGCTATTCGAAGCTCGAAGAATATTCGTGGAACAGTTTCAAGCAACACTCGTGCAACATCGACGAAAATTCAAGGTGTCCGTTCGACAGTGCACCCACGATCATGTAACGCAATCAAGGATGACGCGGTACATAACCAGGACACATCTGGCGACAGCGCCTTTGCGGTCCAGCTCCAACTGACTCTCCCGAGTACGACTGAAACAAAGTATGATAAGGGGGATACCCCAATAAAAGAGGAGCAAGGGTCCAGGATCGCAAAGACGAGCGGCTCCCGAGTGAGGTCACGACAAACGGAAGCAAAATCGACTGGAGCTGCGAGGTCGGAAGGCCAGGAGCCGCCCAAGAAGGAACCACGCAAGAAGCCTTCACGCCGTGATGAAGATCCCTCAGGACCCAGCTCGAGTGGCGAGTCCAGAGAGGAAGACGACAATCCAAGTGACTCCGATAGTTTGTCGGACGGCATGCCCCTACGCGACTATGGTTACTAACGCCAAAGGTGGAAACATGCTCACCGGACATTAGCCAACGCACGGGACGACTTCGACGAGAAGCAGTCCCCGACGGCACGTCGCCGATGGTGGGAGAAGTTCCTGAACATGACGATCCAGGCTGGTTGGACTGATCAGATGAAGATATATGAGTTCAAGACGAAGATGCGCCTGCCTCCCGAAACTGGATTGGCCAGCTAGGGAAACGTGTGCGCACGAATTGGGGGCGCCTTACTCGGGAGTTCAAGTGCGAATATTGCAGGTCCCGGGTGTCTGATTCGGAGAAGTACTATACGATGAAGCAGTACAAGGATGAAACAGCCCTAGCGTTCCTGTATCGCCTGAACTTAGCTGCTGAGCGAGCGGATGTGAAATTCAGGAAGTCTGAGCGACGACGTGAACAACACATCAAGCGGTTCATCAAGAACCTGATGGACATGTCGCTCAGGTCGACATTGCAAAGTCAGAGATTCTACAAAGTGTCCGACCTGGAGTACGTTCTGAAGCAACAAGAAGAAGTGAACGCGAGCGGAAGCTATTCCACCCGGCCGCCTCCCAATCGTGACTTCAGAGCAGACAACGTCGCCCGAGGTGGGATGCGACAGCGGAATTCGAACCGAGCTTACGTCGCTCGGGATGATGAAGATGTGGACGTCGAGAAGTCAGCCCAGATGGAGCAAAACGTGGATGAAAACGATGTTGCCTTCCAAGAACTGTCCACCGCGATTCAGGATGCCCAGATTTTGGTCAACCCGAATGGAACATTCCTGAGCAGGGAAGAGCTAATTCACGAGGTTTATCGCATCATGAACAACGTGGGATGGAAGCCGGCGAACCCGAATGCCAGAAGTGGTTCGAGTGCTAATCCCAGCCCACCGTTGCCGCCGCCTGCGCAGCCGGCTGCATTTCAGGGATACCAGTCTTACCACAACCCGGATCGATTGGAGTTTTGTGAGAAATGCAAGAAGTTCGGACATCGCCTGGAGAAGTGTTGGACTAACATGATATGTTGACAATGCCATAGACGTGGACACCCAACGCGAAGTTGTATGGCCAAGTCGTGCCCGAAGTGTGAAGAATATCACGATGGACATTGCGACGAGTGGAAGACTTTCCAAGAGTTCAAGAAACTCGTTCTTCAAGGAGGCCTAGCTGACCTGCCTAGCCATGTTCGGGAAGACATCCTGAATAGCAAGGGCGATTCTGAGGAGGTGCAGTTAAACCACTAAGCCCCGAATGGGGATTCGGTACGCGTCGGGCTGAGAGAACCCTCAGAATTGTGTGTTAGCGTATGTCGGCCCCGAGTTGAGGACCAGGAACCAAGATAACCCACAATGTTTGACCTCCATGATTCATGATGAACCTGTTCCTTTGGAAATTCGACAAAGTATTTCCTGACCACCATTGCCTCCAGAACCCGAAGGTAAACCTGAATTCAAGTTAAACCCCGGGGAACGGTATGGTTGGTGGGCCGAGCATGATCGTGATGAGGAAAGACGTCAGTGTGCTACGATTCATGGAGCAGTGAACAATTTCAGGGCGCAGATACTACTTGACACCGGAGATCAAGTTAAATTCACAGAAGCGGATCAAGGTGTCAGGAGTAGGTGGCGTCCCGAGTTATATCACCTCGAGTGCACAAATCAAGATCACTTTGGGATGGCGAGTTGTGTATGTCATGGACGTCTGGGTAACGAACATTGGAGAAGGAGTGGATGTACTCTTAGGAATGGATTTCATGTTCAGTGCTGGAGTGCGCCTAGGTATTCGTGAAGGAATGGTAGGTCTCCCGGATGAAGAATCTATTTTGATGTACGGGTATACCATACGAAGACGTGAATACTGGGATATCCCAGTCTGCCTCCTTCGAGGATTGCATCTGCGACCCGGAGAACATGCAAATGTGGCCATCCGATATGGACAGTGTCGCCCGCTCCAAGATGTTGTATGGGCAGGACGAGGCGATCTGTGGGTCACCCAGATTGTTTATGGCGCACCATCGTGGGCTGTAGCGATAAAAGTGGTCAACGTTTCGGACCGAGATTGTTGGATCGAGCGTAGGACACTTGTTGCTCGGATTGCGGAATATGGGAACATCCCCATAGTTGGGCAGTTCGTGCGTCCTGGATTACGAAGGTGCATGGAATGGCAACAGGTTATTCAAGAAAACACATTGTCCGCGAAGACCAGGGTGCGTCAGGAAGCATATGAACAGATGCTTCGATATGCGGCTCCGCCCGTAGTTATGGTTCCCCAATACAAATGACCAACGAAGTTACTGGTGAGGCCAAAGGAACCCGAGCGAGCCCAGGTCACGAAGATTGCGGAAGAATCACAACCGCAGAGAAACGTCGACGTTGCGGAGTCAGTTGAAGATGCTACACCTGGGACATACTCCCCGAGTGCGATTGGTTCACTCATGGCTGTTGAAGTTCCGCCTGAACATGTCACTCTGGATGTCAACACCCCGGATGGCGGAGAAGTTGCCAATTCGGGATCCTGTGGTGAAGGCCTAGGTGAGATGGCCCAGGGATTTGAATGCGACGCATTCCAGGATGACGCGAGTGTGGACGATGAGGTTTCGAGATACCTTCTTTTGCCATGCCTGGAACACCACTCGCAAGACTCGATGCAGCATATACCAGGTGTATGTGAGTGAGCGCTGAAGAGCTCGATTTGGAACCGGTGGTTTATATTCGCGAAGGGAGTGAGCTTATGGCTCAATTAAAGATCAGTTGGTTATGCTACCTGACCTGGATGATCTCTCTCCTGAATGTGATATTGAGGCCGCTGACGTTTGGAGAACCTGGCGAGAGTACAGAAGCTGAGGACAAGCAGCTGAAGGCCGTCCTGAAGAGACACCAGAATATCTTCTGAGGTGATGGAAATGCTGCTCCGCCGCCGGTGAGAGGTGTCATCTGCGATTTAGATGTGGGCGACGCCAAGCCAGTAGCACAACGACCCCGATCAGTCGGTCCGCATTTGGCAATTAAGGTGTACAAGTTCTTGAAGAAGCTTTTGGAAGCTACATTGATTGAACACTCTGAATCGCCATGGGCATCCCCAATTGTGATCGTGCTCAAGAAAAACGGAGTCGATATTCGAATGTGCATCGACTATTGGGTCGTGAATAGCTTCATTCAGTTGTCGAACTATCCACTGCCGCTGATCGATGATCTCATTACTGGTTTTGAAGGAATGATGTGGTTCATGATTCTTGGAATGTCGAGTGGCTTCTGGGCAGTCCGAATGACCGAGAAGGCTAAACTGATCTCGGCATTCGCCTGCCCGTTCGGGCATTTCCAATAGGTACGTATGCCATTCGGGTTGAAAAACGCCCCACTAATTTACCAACAGATGATCAACAATTGCCTGTGAGGATTCGTGAGGCTATTACCCGAAGAGGAGGCACTCGGGGATCAGGATGTGTTAGACTACCTGAAGTTGGACCGTCAGTCACCAAGGGACGAAATGGATGTGGAACGCAGTATGACACCGCTAGTGGAGCAAATGTAGGTTTTCAGGCGTAACATTCCCGCGCCATCCCAAATGGGGCCAGTCTTGGGGTGCAGTTCGTATATTGATGACATCGCGCATGGGGCGGCCACGTGGGATCAACTATATAAAGATTTGGACGCGCTGCTCTATCGGTTACGGTACTGGAGTATCTCAGTTAGCTTGCCCAAGAGCGAATTCGGGAAGCGTGTCATACCGTACCTCTCTCACGAAATTGGTGCTGAAGGGATACGTGCTACTCCGAAAATCGTAAAAGGCATTCAGGAGCTACCATTTCCGTCTACCCTGAAAGAAGTCCTGTCATTTCTAGGCAGTCTGAATTACTACCACAAATTCATTGAAGACTATGCTATGGTAGTTGCGTCACTCTATGAGTAGACAGACGATCAAGTGCGCGCAGGACGAGACTTGTCTCGAGCGAAGGAATCCTTTGAGATCCTGAAGAGGAAAATCGTATCTACACCTCTGCTCAGACATCCGGATCGAACGAAACCATTCGTGATCATCCCTCATGCAAATCAGTGGGCTGCTTGTGCGGTTCTGGGAAAGGTGCATGACGGACTTGTTCAGCCTGTTCGATTCAGGGGGCGCGTCCTAAATGACGCCGAGCTCAAGTATCATATTGCTGAGAAGGAAGTTCTCGCTGTGATGCGAGTTCTCCATGTATTCAAGAACCTGATTGAAGGATGTCCGTTGATAATCTACACTCGACATTCAGTGTTGAATTGGGTCATCAATTCCAAGACCGCCGAAGGCCGTCTGGTGCCATGGGGCGTTGCTCTCTCACAGTACGACTTGGAAATCCGGAAGGTTTGTCGAGATGAGGATGGTTTAGCCGCCATTATGGGTGCAGGTATCACTCCTAGGGAGCACTTGGATAAAGTCGCCGAAGTACTCATTCCAGCCAAGGGGCGCGTCAAACCGCCTCCAGTCGTGAGTGACGAAATGCTCTCAGAAGAGTACTCCGGGGTAGTCCTGAGTTTCGATGGTGCGGCCAAAACCTCCACGAGGAAGGGCAGCTGCGGATGCATTCTGTGTCAGTTACCTGAATTTAAGGTTTTGGATGCTCGAGGATACATCCTGGACAGAGTCACCGTCAACGACGCGGAATACTTTGGACTGCTTAAAGGGCTTGCAATGGCTTTGGAAAGAGGAATTCAGAACATAGTCGTTGTGGGTGATTCGAAAATTGTGATTCAACAAGTCCAAGGCCTGATTAATTGTAACCAGCCTAATCTCCAAAGGAGGCTAGCTGAATGTGAAACTCTGAAGAAGCATTTCCAGGCGAAACGAATGGTACACATAAAGCGCGAGTTCAACCAGGCCGCTGATTACTTGACCTCAAAGACTTTTGTCCAAGGTGAATCCTGGACTGTCCAGGATGTTCTCGAGAAACGACACCTGGAAATAGTGTCTAAGATTCGCTAGCAGTTGGTAAAGCTGTCGGAAGGCACTGGCCGTCGAGCTCACAGCGGAGACACCATGCAAGACGCTAGTGAAGGAGATGGTAACTCCGGGACGAGACATGGTCCTGGCCCTGAGTGTGCAACTCTATCTTCTGCCGCCCGAGTCATGGCTGTACTCACGAGATCGCGAGCTCAAGAAGTTGATGGCGGCGATGTTCCGCCCATGGGACCACTAGAATTCCAAGCTGGACGCTGGAGACGGATCAAGGTTCATCAAGAGGATGATGAGTATCGAGCTGAGATCAGGGCGTTCCTGAATGACGACCTAGATAGGTTCTCATCCACACGTCTGAAGAAGATCAGTAAGGTCGCAGATATGTTTGTTCTGGATGATCGAGGAATATTGTATAGACTCCCACACTCTGTTCGCGGAAGACCACGAGACGTCGTGGGTAATCTAAGACTGGTAGTCCCGAGTTCACTTCGGGAAGACATGTTGCACCATGCGCATGAAGATTTTCAAGGTGGACATCAAGGGATCACCTGGACTCATGAGAAGCTACGTACCGAATTCTACTGGCCCGGTATGTACGCGGACGTCTAACATTTCGTGAAGGAATGTGTAGACTGCGCCAGTGGAAAAGGAGGTCCCCCGAATGCTGGACCTTCGTCAGGGAATATTGAACCACGGTACCCATTTGAGGCAGTTTCTATGGATTTCGTGACTCACATGCCAGAGTCGGCCAGAGGAAAGACTTTCCTTTTGCTGTTTCAAGACATGCTTTCCGGTTACGTGATGTGCAAACCCATGTCGTCTATAACTGCAAAAGATGTCGCTGAGGCTTATGAGGAGCAAGTGTCCCAGATATTCGGGGCGTCTTCCATGATACGGCACGATCAAGATCCGCGGTTCATGAGTGAAGTGTTCACAAGGTTCCGAGAAGTCTTAGGTAGCCGGCAACGCGCTACACTCGGATACCGCCCACAAGCGAATGGACAGCAGGAGAGATCTGTGCAAACAGTCATTCGGAGCGTCCGAGCATATATCGCCGAGATGGATCAGTCCGACTGGGACGATCACGCTGAGCGACTGATGTTCGCACTGAATGTCTCGTTCGACGCGACTAGATTGGATACCCCCTTCTATTTGGTCCACGGTTGGGACGCCCGAATGGGTTTCGGCAATGCTGGGACCAAAACCTTCGAGCGTTCCTGAACGTAGCGCATATGAGTGGCGACGGAAACTACAGCGTGAATATAGCTACGCACTCGCATGCGCTGAGGACCTCCAGAAGAAGGCTAAGAAGATGCGCTCGGACGAACAAACCCGAAAGTGGTTGGAACTCTCCGAGAGGGTCAAGGCAGGTTCTAAGAAGGGGGACTCCGTCTGGTTGTGCATCCCGAAAGTTCAGACTGGATTGAGCCGGAAGCTAGCACACATGTGGCACGGGCCATTCAGGTTCGATGAAATTCGGGATGACTACCGTGTGAGACTGAAGGTGAAAGATACAGGTTATCGTGTTAACCATTGGGTACATATTAGTCGACTCAAGCCGAGCGTAGTTTTCCCAAAGAGACCAACAGTTGAGATTGATGTCGCAGATGGTGATGATTTCGATGCGGCGCTATTGCCTGAAGACAGTTGGGAGCCGGATAGCTCGAATGATGTGTTTGAAGTGGAATCAATTCAGGATGTACGATGGGTGAAGCACGGTGACACAGCTAAATTGTGGATCACTATTGTATGAATTCAACAAAGGGACGCGAGCACGAGCTCGGTTTCAGGCGATGCAGGCTGGGCATGACCACCCGAGAGTGTAGTCAACCCGAATTACCTTACCTGAACGACACTAGACCGTGGAATTGTGTGAACTGATTTTGATTTCGTTTGATTTATGAGGAGTATTGTGGACGTATCCAGGAAGCTGATTGTGGAATTTATTTGACGAACTAAGAGAATTGAAGGTGATGGATATGAGAACGGTGTGAAAAGCATCGGCTGTGGTGCGATGGACAGGATAAACAGTGAACATTGAAGATGTGAATGATAATTGTATTCTGGATGTTAACGCTAATGCTTTGACATACAACACGCAAAATTGTTCTGGAATGGGTCAATTAGTGAAGTCCAAGGTGACGCGATTCGCCTGCGACTGGCGCTGCGAACATTTCAAGAGTTTCAACGGATAGTCCTCCGGAAAATGCTTGATTCGGTCTTTATCCGACGCGCAAGTGTTCCACTGCACGTGCTGGTTCTTGGTCATCCAGGAGTTCCATCTGCTCATCCAGGGTGTAGCGAGTGCCATCGTCTTTGACGTGCGACTCAT